CGGTTAATACTAGAGCACTACACAATACGTATACCCACATCATATTAAAGATTGCAGGATGCGTGTTAGCTTTTAGATGTGTATCTAGAAGAAAGTGAAAGCATTCACATTATGCTGACGGTAGGTTTGAAATACATGGCCTCTAAGCAATATAGTATACTGTACTTAGAGTTGGCGGCTCGAGCTCTGGTGATTCAATGTGGTCCTTCACTACTTGTCGTTTCTGGAACAAAGTCCATATTTGTGGCGGCAACCCATGATAGGAGGCGTCTGCGGAGCAGCATGACAACGAAGATGATGTGAATATAAATGGCAAGGAAGGCATATGTTTTTAGGAAAGCACTAATTTCAGCCATTTTTAGAAGTTTTTTATACATATTTGATGCGCCCTACATGACAGTTAGGTTATTGAAAAAAGGGTGCCTAATATGGGTTTAAGCATTCTTAACTTTTCCTTCGAGCTCACTTAACGAAATAAGCTTGTTGCGTTTCTTTCTCTCAGTTACAGATAGACATCATTAGTAAAGATTCAGAGCCTGACAGGAAATGGTACCAAATAAGGAGTTAATGATGCTTCTATGTCTGCCTAGCAGAAGAGAATTCTGTTGTAGGATAACTGTGTTAAAACTAATGCTCTCGCGATATTATGGGAGGAACAGAGTGGGATGACATCGGACGATTTACTTCGAGGATCGGATTTAGCTTCATGTGCAGTTCTAACAGCATAAAGAGCTTCTGGCTGTATGTTTTACGAGGACGACACTTCTCAATTCTAAGCAGCAAATGATAATTACCTCTCTTTCTCTGAGACTTTATTCCACTATACGACATTGGCAGTGGATTTCAGTTTTCCACACTTGTCGGGCTACGTAGTTTTATAGTGGCTCGATAATAAGTCACCACTATAGGATACTATTTTCAAACTGAAAGAGAAAAACGAAACTTTGTCTCATATAAGGTTTCATGATCACCTCCAACACTTCATGTTCTCTCTTAAAAGAAAAACAAACGAAAAAACCCATCCACATTCATAAAGCTCAGGTCCTCGTCATTAACTAAACATACAATTTATACTTCAAGGTTTCGCACTTTTGAGGAATAAACAGCTTTTTTATCTCGCTACTCCTTGGGAACGAGGCGGCGAATTGTTCTGTGAGAGGCATCGCACTGAGAGGAACTCGTGTTGCGCCGCACTAACGGTGTCTCGGGCTTCATTCATCATTCTCTACTCCGTACAACAAATTCTTAAGTAGGAGCTCGTCAAACCTACCACTCAGACCAACTCTATCATTCTGAGAGTAGCACATGGCTCAGAATTTACAATGAACCATTCAATTGTTTCAATTGTGCGAATCTTCATTGAAAGCTCTACCTTTTTTTTTGATGTTCCTACAAGCAATTGATAAATGTTTCAGAGAATGCAGTCATTCCTCGATTTTTCTTTGTCTAAGACGCTAAGACAAAAATTACGATTCAATCTAAAATTGAAACATGGATTTAGTTGAAGTTCCAGCTTACTTATTACACTGACAGTGCTCTGGATGCTATAGGCTAATGCGGTAAACCTGTTTTTACAGGGATGTCTCCATCGATGGGGCGTTTACGTTAAGAACTAATTTTGTTCTTTTCTTCTGACATTCTGAATTTATAGTCTTACTTATAGTTTCGGTGTAGTGATCTATTCCTCCCTGACAGTCGAAGCCTGAAGTTTCGACAATGCGCTAAATTGGCTGCTGTATCAAGTTCACAAAATATGATAATTCACATTAGCTACGACCTATACTAGCCATTGCATATTTTAGGTAATGTAATTGTACCACGCATAATTATGTCTATTTTGTAGGTTACTGTGAGAAATTGAGTCCGTATGCAAGAATTTTGTAAAGCCGCTGTTTGTTGATGTTATGTCTATGGAGGATATCTTTAAAGCTGTTCAATCTTAGTATCGATGTGAGTTTATCATTCCATTACAACTGCAACTTGTTATGTTGTTGCGAATATCTAAGAGCTTGCCTTTCAGCGCCGTCATGTCAAGAGAAAGAGATGATGAAGCCTTGTGAGAAGAAGACTAAGAAACTTTGAAGATGAAGGATTGGAAAACATGCTCCAATACTTGGCTGTAAGAGGTGACGAAGACACTCGCAACGAATCAGACGCGAGCATAGACGAAAACGTGCACACTTCACAAATTTCCTGAGGGATGACGCTTATGGACGATGTACAAAGAGCTCTTTCGAATGTTGACATTATAATTGGTGACTGGAACACTAATATGCGGCCACACACCGTCTTGCCCCTCGATGACCTAACGCAGGTGTCCAGCGCAGTATTGTTACCGGATGCCGGCAACCAGCTCTTGTCTACGAACTGCTCACGACTGATCTTTGGGAGTTGATTGTAAAGCAGAAAAATATCTATGGCACTGAAAACGCCGGTTGGGAGTATAGCACAGTAGAAGAAATAAAGACATTCATAGCTTGTGTATACAAATGAGTGTTGTGAAGCTTCCAAACCTGAAAAATCATTGGAGCAGCCATGCTTCTTTTAGAAACCCCTTCTCAGGAGTGAGAGGTCATGAAAAGTTTCAACAACCACAAGTTGCTCGTCAATTTCACTGACCAAATGGTTGCCTATTGCTCAAAAACCAGGAAGACATGTAAATGGTAAGTGCATTTGATGCGGTATTGATTCGCAATATCTAATTCCACAGTTCTGGTATATCCGCCTGTTCTTCCAGCTGGTGACGCATATGTGTCTGATGGACAAGTGAAAAATCTACAGAGACTGCGTGAAAAAAAGTCCATTTACCGATTTCACGATGGGTGTTTATCTCAAATACTTACAAGATCATGTCGCTCCACACTCTACACGCAGGCCTATTCTCGAATTCGCTTTTCCAAAATGTGGACTTTATATTGGATGTTATAGAAAATTGGTAATTCGTGTGAATACTGCGTACACTCAAAACAAAGTTAAAAGAGTAAACACGAGATGCAGTCGATGTAAGCAATATATTTGTTTTCCTCGTTTCAGCTCAATGGAGATGTGTTGCTAGGCGTTCTAGCGTTCGACAAGTTGTATAATTTAGGTCGAAAGATCATGTCGCATAATACTGAAGACAGTTATAAATCGATAAGTGATTATTTTAGGAATTGATGTTTATTGTTATAGAACGAGTAATTTGTTGAATGCAACGAGCAAAATTCTGTGCAACGCGGGTAAATGCTGAGCGGTATTCTATTCAGGGTGAGGTTCTCTATCGAAGAGGGTGCGACTGGAACGAAGTCAAGGCGAAGATCCACAACGACGACGAACGGGTGTGCACATGCGATTGGAATCATCGGCTCCAAAGGAAGCTGAAGGCCGCGAAAGGTTAGCCGAGTAAAAATTATTATCCTCAGCCTCGTACTATAAACTCACTCAGCAAGGAAAAGTTCTATGAGTACTCTCATTTCAAACAAAGATTAAGCGGTGGTGCTCTTGGCGTTGATCAGTCTCTGAAGGATGAGCCGCACTCCCGTCTTCAATTCTAGTCTTGTTTGACGTGATCAAATGCATATCTGGCCTTTACAATGACTAGTGGTAGTCTGCCTATGTGTTGAATTAGCGTGCTTATCCTCCTAAACAAGTCTGGCATAAGTTACTGACCCCGGAGGGATAGAGGGCTTGTGAAGCATGATTCTGAAGCCAAACCCTCTATCTTATGTGCGCCGTCGAGCACCTCTAAGCACTGAGCTACGCGGGCGGATCTGTTTTCAACCACATCCCAGAATTTATTACAGCGATCTAAGATATCTTATGTGCGCCGTCGAGCACCTCTAACCACTGAGCTACATGGGCGGAACTGTTTCCAACTACATCCCAGAATTTATTACAGCGATCTAAGATTACAGAACAATGGAAAGGCTCTCAGAAACGATGCTGCACACTTATCATCCTTGTTTCATGTAAAGCTTACTCGAGGTTAGCATATTCCTAAAATGGCTAGCGTCTAGGAAATTTCGCCTTTCCCATACCCTATGCGTATTTTCACTCCTCATATAGAATATTACCGGTTTCTGCAAGAATTCCCTATTTGTTTGCTTGTTGGCAGTGCTGTGATATTAGAACTATGTATGATAAAGCTGAGTAATATGCAAAACTTTGGACCCGGAGTCAGAGTGAACCAGCGTCTCAACTCTTTCTGGGGACACTTGCTAACCACTTCTATCAGCTCATCTGAGTTCATTACCGATACGTGCTTAGCAGGCCAAACAGAGGATTGTTAGTTGCTGACAGAATCGACATATTGTATCGCAAAAAGATTGGCAGCAAAACAGGAACCAGGATGGCGTAGTCTTTAGTGTCGTTCTCGAAAAGAATAAAATGCGGGTTCAACTCCCGCCTGAGGTTTATACTTTTGCAAATCGCTCAAAATTAATAGATTCAACAGAATGATGAGATTTGATATAATGTTATTCGTATAGGATCTGAAAAAGGTGAGATGGCCAGAACGTCAACCGTCGTATTTGAGGAAGACATACCATTCTGGCGCAGACTTCGCGTTAAAAAAGAAAATTTGTGTGATATGCATGGCTAATTTACATAGTATGCAAAGCACTGGATTCCAGTTGAGAGTTGAGGCAGAGTTTCATTTCAAAACAACGCCAAAAAACTACAGTGATGCGTTGTGGTAGAGGATCGGACTAGTACCCACTTCGCGACAGCCCGTGGTACGATGCCGTGTCAACGCAGTTTACTCTTTAGTGTCAAAAGACCAAATTTTGAAATAGTTTATGCTTCGAAGGCTTGCGGAATATGTGGGTATTTGACGACGATCACCCATATTAAGTGTCGTTCCACTAACCGAGTCGGGTTGGGTCAGGTTGGAACTTTCTGTTTTTCCTTCCAGTTGCAAGATGCAAGGCATTCCTAGGATCGCACTTCAGGGTGCGTGGACAATAACGCCAAGTAATCTATCACTCTATATCTGAGATAATTAAGTGGTGAGAAAAAAACGCCGCCTCAGGCGGTGATGGAACCCGCGTTTCTCCCTATCCAGGGACGCGTGCTCTATCATTACACCACCGAGACACATTTGCGCCACCACTCATTCTTCAACATTTCTATGTTAGCTATCAGCCACTAACCTTTAACAAGATTAGTCAGGTATGCGATTTCGCTCTATAAACCCAGTTGAGCTAACAGCCATTGCACTAACTAGGACTCGAAATTTCTAGTATTTTACTGCATTTTTGCACGAGTCCCAGGATAGGATGTAGCGCGGGCTCGATTCCCGCCTGAGGCCGTGTTTTTGCTCACCACTCAATTCTCCTAGGTATATATGGAACATAATAACACTGCAAACAAATGCAGAAAATACTAGAAATTTCGAACCTTTCACTCTGAATACGCAGCGATCAGACTTAATCTTTCATCTTGATAAAGCAGTAACCACATTTTTTCATGCGTATGTTGAAGCAGGCATGATCGTCGAGCCGTTGAGTCGTGAGTTTAAAAAAACTAAGAGATTTTTAAGGAAGTAAGCTTCATTCAAAGCCTTCGCAAAGTTAATTTGTCTTCTTCATGATCGATGGTTTCAGATCCATATATCAAAGACAAATTACACGAATAGTAAATATTTAGCTTGTATAGATGGCTGTAAAGTGTCATTTGTTTAAAATGTACTCTATACTTCTTGCTTAGCTTTTTCTCTAATGTTGTTGATAAAGCACATCTTTTATTTATATGATATGAATTAGATTCTCTGATAGAGACGATGTAACGAGTGTGTTAGGATAACACGTGGTTTCGATACGATATTCAGTTCATGATAGGAAACGTCATGCTAAAATGTAATCTTGGGGCTAATTCTTTCATGACCTACTTCTTGAAGAGTAAGGCCAGTCGTGGAGAGTTCAAAAGAGATGAGAATAACTTTTGAAATGTGTACTACTTAACAAAAGCCCGAAGGGTACAGAGTTCATCATTGATCAATTTGTCAGAAATGCGTTTTTTTTTCAATTCCATTCTACGGTTGCGTAGGGCTTTTTGCTACTAATATTACAGCTTTTGTGGGGAGTACATAAAGTAGTTTGACTTGCTCGGTCAGTGCTCGCAGGCAAGGTTTATTTGTATATTAGCAATATGGAGCATTTCAAGTCGATGATGGGACGGCAAATCATAAAGGAATTTTGTGCGGGAGTCTATAGTAATCATAAAGAGTACAAGGGTACGAAACTACAAATTTGACACCGCGTTGAAATTTCCACAAATGGCGTTTACCGGTAATACACAATCACCTCACAAAAGGGTATCGGCTTCGGTTTCCCGGATGATGGGTTAAGACAGAGGAGCTGTGTTGTGTAGGCACATCTGACGACTGCGCTACACTCATCCAGCAATCTGAAAGATTCAGGTGGTACGGAACTCTGAATGATTGCAATGAATAGAGAAGTACTTTTGTCTTCAAAGTGTAAAATGTATTTTGCACTCGCGTCTTGACTTTTTCGCCAATCAGAGCTTTTCAAGAGAGCTTTAAAGTGCTTGAATAGCTTGAAAAAGGACTATTCTGAAGCTGAGCGTGGTTTTTGAAAAGATCTTTGTAGAACGAAAAATCACCACATCTCGCACTCTAACATATCTGAAACAAAAGCGTATGATCGTGTGAAGAAGTCGTGATATACCAAAATATAAAAAAACATACGAAACACTCTTGAAGCAGAGAAAAGATTTTTAGATACTGTACACTTTATACTTGCCGCTTTTTGGTCCGCATAATGTATTTTTCTTCACTGTACGGATATCTTGTACTTCTAGCATTTAATTTCGTCTTCGTTTTTTTCTTCAACAACGTAGATTACGATTAAGCTCTCTCCTCGCAATCTTAAGGATAGCCTGGATGTGGCGTTCTATAGGGCGTCAATGTTGACTGCCAGATAAAGCTGGGGGAGAAACTCGACTTTACACGCACCGCAGCTTGCATCACAATTACTCGGCCACGGCTCCCGATTTTTAGATGCGTAAAGAAAATTGAATATCTATTGAAGTGTGCTCCAATGCCACTTCGAGCGACCGCAACTTCGTTATTCATTCTGAAATTTCCTATCCTTTCAAAAAAAATCTTGAAGTTTTTTGCAATGAGATTGTAGAAGAGACTTCGTCCCATAGTTCTTTAGGCACTCGCATTAATGTTCATTTTAGATTTCCGATATGAAGTCATAAAGAAGCTGCTGTAAAGTTTTAAACAGTAGGCTATCTACTTCGGGTGTGTAACGAACCTCCTCTTCGCTCTTGCTTCACTTTATGGTAATTTTTTAACAGAGCAATATTAGCTTCAAAATTATCGACAGCTATTATGATTGATGAGAAAATTGCAAGAAGCCACCTTAACCAAGCGAACAAATCAAACCGAATATTTGACACAATTTTATTCCCTCTTTTAGAACGTACCAATAAAGCGTATACAGAAACCAAATGAAATATAGATATTGCCGGCGTTCGAAATGATTGAAAATCTAGGATAGAAGTCTGTTTATCAATAAAGATCTTTGGAAATCCGTGAATCTTCAAAGATACACATTGTTTCACAGGTTGAGATGGTATAAAAATCTTACTCTTGCAATGTTCATTTTCAGGCCTAATAATTTATTAGAAGATCACGTTGCTATTCTTGCTCTGATTAGCTAATTTTTCTTCACTCTTCCGCATTTTTTTTGGTTTGTTTTTTTAGCTATCTGCTCTTTTTTATCGGAAGTCTAATGTCTGAGGTGTATTGATGAGTGGATGGTACTGGATATTGAATATCAAATACACAAGGGAAATTTGTGAAAAATCGTGAGGAAAGGAAACATTGCGTGAATATCTTTAGTTCAGCAAACACGTGGTTGTTAATACACGTTTACTTTCTACAAAATAGTACAACAGAGATCGTATCGGTGGTAACGTTACGGCAGGCTTGCCTTCCTCAGAGCCTGGAGGACTCCTGTTGACGTACATCAACTTAGTCAAACGCTTCCATAACCAAAGCGGAAAAAAAAGGGAATATTTGAAAATTTGCTTTGTGCCTATCTCAAGAGGTGCTTCGTTTATTAGGCATTAAGTACCATTCGTTCATCGATACATCTCAGGCATTACAAAGATAGTATGCCATCAGTGAACGACGAGAATCTTCAGAACAGTTGCAGTTTGGATGTCTTCGCATTCTACTAAGATAATCCACTGTTGTGCGTGTAACGAGCTACCCAAACAGGATTTTTACGAAAGAAAAAAAAAGAACAATTGACAAAATATAAATCAAAAGCTCAACTTATCACAACGAGTTCAAGAATCAGCAGAAATCAAAAAAATTGAACCTTTATTTTGAAAAAGGAAGGCGTTTTTAAGGATCAGTTCTTGTGAAATTGTCTAAATAAAAAATGTCAGCCTAGTAATCGCTAGTGATTTTTTTATTCAACAAATACGAGGCTGTTAAGTTGGCAATTTATTCGGTACAGACGAACAGTACAATAAGCGTCATGTTGTGTTCTTCATGAACTGATATTCGATGTATTTGTGCACAGCCTATTATTTTAGATACAAAGAATCTTTCCGTTACGATTTCCGTATTTATGGCAGAGTGTAGTGATGATACCACAGTCGTTAATCAGGGAAGGCAGCGGAGTATAGTAGTCACAAATATCCTGTGGTCATTTTTTCGGACAACAACTCATTTGAGTATAATTTTTGAGAATGTTTGAAGCCTTACCGAGGTTGGTATGCCAGAGCCATCCACACGTGTTTCGGAGGTCTCGCCCTCCTCGTCAGTGGCTCACGCCCTATATTAAGCCCTGCATCATAGCAGTGAGGAAAGCGTATGTGGTGACAACACAACATACAATGGCATTGTGCTATTACCACTTTTCAGTTGATGGATCATGGCTGGCAGACGCAAACTGATCCAAATGTTTATCCACCCTCCATGGTCTACAAGTGGCGTTATTGACCGGTTCAAATGGTGATTTGTATTTGATTCAAGCTTAAGCTGCTTTCATTTTCGAACGACTCTTTAGCGAAAATGGAGATGCAGTCTGAATGCGTGTCAACAACTCAGCCACCTCAAAAAAGAAAATTTTGTAAGGAAAAGAAGAGTTTTTAGTTGAGTGGACTGTCTATCGAGCTGGAGCTTTCTACACTTTGGAAAAAACGAAATTTGCTGGGACGCCAGCCAGAGTAGAATTAATATTGCTTCTACATCTGCATATCGGAAAAAAATTAGATTGTAGTCTGCTTTCCAGGTAGTTCTCGCACCTTCCATTGAATGATTTCTCTCGTGATTATAACAACGTTGCTTCTTCAAGATGTAAAAAAAAAAACTTAATTTAACATTAGATTCAATCCTTGTGGAGTTTCACTCCAAAATATTCTCTACTGTAAGGAAATTCAAAAAAAAAGGAACAGCATCTTCAGTATACAATCACAATAACTTTGCCTGCTTTGTTTGCTTTTCTTGCTGAATATCTACTTGAAAATACGCTTTACTACTGCAGTTATCGTCGCTCTCACCTTGTTCCTCTTCCTAAAAAAATCTAGTTAAAAATCTTCTCTAATAATCAATGAAAAATTTGTACCTTTGTGAAACTATTCATTAAAGATAGGAATGAAGAGCTTTCGGCCAATTATAGATTTAATTAGCTGGTATACGACAAGATGTTATGATTATCAAACGGGGTGGCTAAAATGTAACGCATTAATCACTAACTACTAATAACATTGCGAAGTGATTAAAGGTACCGTACGACACATTCACACTCACACGGTCGTTGATTTGATGACACGCCTTTGGCTCACGTAGCCACTCCATCCATCCGAACGAGACGGCGATTTTTTACCAGACTTATCTAAGGGAACAGCAGCTCTGATCTAATACTACATCAATAGATCATGGCGAGTCATGAATTCAAACACCTTCAACGATCGTTGATGAAATCGAAAGCGTGGTGCATCTCTAGGGGATTGATCATCGCTGGGACTTGTTTTCCACACTTTATGATTGAACAATTTAGTAAATGAACTCCTCTCCGAAGTTTTGACGGGAAAATTCACCTAACTTTTCT